GTCTGTGCAACACGTGTGTGTGTGTGTGTGTGTGTGTGTGTGTGTGTGTAGGATGGGTGGTACACACACACGCACACACGAACCTGGGGATGGGTGGCACACACTGGTGTATACACACACACACATGCACCCATGGGTTGATCCCGGGGATGAGTGGTACACACGAGTGTACATACACACACGATCGTGGAGATGGATGCACACACATACACACACTATCCCAGGGATGGGCAGCGCACATGGGTGCACATACACCCACCCACGCGCGCGCGCACACACAATTGTGGAGATGGCTGACACACCCCAGTGGATACAGGCGCACACATCGGTTGATCCCGGGGATGGGTGGTACACATGCATGTACATATACCCCCCGCACACACACACATGATCCTGGGGATGGGTGGCATACGTTGGTGTATACACACATATGCACACGTGGGTTGATCCTGGGGATGGGTGGTACACACGAGTGTACATACCCCCTCCCCCACACAATCCTGGGAATGGGTGGTGCATGCCAGTGTATACACACGCGCGCACGCACACGATCCCAGGGATGGGTGGCACACAAGGGTGTACATATGTTCCCCCCACACGCATACAATTCTAGGGATGGGTCACACACATCAGTGTATATGCACACGCGCAATCCCAGGGATGAGTGGTACACACAAGTGTACATACGCCTTCCCCCCCACACACACACAATCCTGGGGATGGGTGGTACACAGACATGCACACTCTCTCTCTCTCTCTCTCTCTTTCTAACTAGACAGGGGGTGCGGGTGGCATGCACACACACATACACACTGTGGCAATGCAGGGTGTGGACAATGGACACAGCTGTAATACATGGTGTGGGTTGCATGCACATACACTTATGTGATACAGAGCGTGTGCACAACCACCTACATGCACACAGTAATGCAATGCAGAGTGTTGGTGGCTCACACACTACTGTGATACAGGGTGTGGGTGACATGCACACACACACACACTAAGGGGATATAGTGTGTAGGCTGGCACACATGCACACATTGTGATGCAGGCTGTGGGTGGGTATGCATACACACACACATGCAATGCAGGGTGTGGGTGGTGCACATACAGTGTGACACAGGGTGTGGGTGGCACACACACACTAAAGGGATGCAGGGTGTGGGTTGCCACTCATACACACTAACGTGATATAGGTTGTGGGTTGGCACAGTTGTGCAATCTAAGATGTGGGTGGCACACACACACCCTACTGTGATACGGGGTGTGGGTGGCACATACATACCAATTTGCCAGCAGGGGTGGGTGGCGCATACACACACCAAAGGGATACAGGGCGTGGGTGGCAGATACTGATGCGATGCAGGGTGTGGGTGGCACTTCCATGCTGCGTGGCAGCCAACAAGAAAGTGTTTTGCAGACCTATCCTCTCTTTCAACATTCAAGATTTTCAAGTCTGGCCCTTGGAAGTTACCAGAGGGCAGATGTAGGGGCACCGCTTCCCTTCTGCTTCCAGCCCGGGCAGGCAGGGCACCTGTGGGAGAAAAATACAGCAATCATGCCACATCCACAGTGTGCAATCGTGTCATTGAACACTGTACCACAGGGCCTGCCCACAAAGGCTAAGGTAAAGCTGGGTGAGCAGCTGTAAACCCAGAATCCCCAGACTTTCACATTCTTGACTTTGCTGCCTGAACATCCCTCTTTGAACATGCTCTGCTGCATGAGCATGTCCTAGGTTAAATGTTTAACATCTCAGTTGTGTGCAGAGGTAACACCACAGCCCTTTCAATCACTAGCACAGCCTGTACGGGGAGAGGTTAGTGGTACCACATGCGCTGGGGCTCCGAGAGCCACAGACAGCCGGAAAAGGTTGTTTTCCCAGGAGATGGTTGGGAGCCTGGCTGTCATCCCTGATTTCTCTCAGTACTGCAGGGATGAATAGGGAGGAGGCACAGGGGGCACATGCCCCCCAGATTTCTATGCCAATGGTGGGGCTGCAGCCCAGCTGGAGCCAGGGCCAGGCAGCAGCAGGGGTGGCAGTGGCGGTAGCGGCATGATTTCTTCTCCAACAATGGGACTGCAGATCAGCCGGTACCAGCACCGGGCAGCAGCGGTGCAGAGTTCTACCCCACACCGCTGTCAATACAAATCATCTATGCCAGCAGGAGCTGATATACTATAGGATGCCTTTGAAGGGGAGAAATTAGCTGTTGAAGCCATGTGTTGAGTCCTAGGAAGATGGCAGGTAGAACCTCCACCATCTTCCTTGCTCCCCATTTGGAAGGTACTGCCCCAACTGGTGTAAGTATGGGCACATAATGGGTTAGGGAAGCCCATCTCACCCCTGTCCAGAAAAGCTGCTTTGGTACCTCAGTGATGTTCCCATTACAATAAATGCTGAGGCAGCTGCTGCTATTTTGGCTGTGGTGTTAGCCCAGCCTCAGAATGGTGAGTGATTTTGGCAGCTGCTGAACACAAAAATTAAGGTCCCGGAGCAGCAGAGCAAAGAGAAAGAGAGCTGTTCTCTGTCACCGAGTAATGCTATTTGGTAGGCATACTGGAAGCAAGTGAAAAACTATGCCTTCAATTTGAAGTGATTAGAACGATTGTTTGATGCAAAAGTAGCAATGATCTCAGAAAAAAAAAAAAAAAGAAGGACCACCAACTAATACACTTCAAAATATTTGTTCTCTCTCTGCCTCCCTACGCTCCATCTCAGTTGGACCATACAGGAAATCTGAGGCATAAAAAAATAAAATATTGCAACAATTGATAAAGCTGCTCTAGACAGTTACTTCAGACCCGTTGTCTGGAGATGGTTTTGAAAGATGTACAGTGCCTCGCACAAAGCAGCTCTTGCTTGGTTCAGGCCTCTGATCACAACCAGCTTTAAGGGGAAAAAAATGTAGGCACGTTGGAAAGAATCCAGTGGAAAATAACAAAAAATGATTAGGGGAAAACATGACTTACAAGGAAAGGCTGAAAGAGCTAGACCTCCAGGGAATGAGATTCTGTAACTTCTCTAGGTAGCTGTTCCAATGCTTGACCACCCTCATAGACAGTTCTTCCGAATAGCCAACCAAAATTTCCTCTGCTGTAACGTGAGCCCATTGTTCTTAGTCCTGTCCCCTACCGCCACAGAGAAAAACTCTATTTCCATCTTCTCTGTAACTGCCCTTTAAGCATTAGAAGACTGGTATTAAATCCCCCTTTAGTCTTCTCTTTTCTGGAGTAAATCAGCCTAATTCTCAGAAAGGCTGGAAGGGATCTCAAGAGATTATTTAGCTCGGCACGTCTCAACCTGTGGGTCACGACCCAAAAGTGGGTCACAAGACTATATGAAGGGGTAGCAATAAACTTTAAAAACAGATCAACAAACTTCATAAATGGATTCTCCTTTAAAAGAGAAAGGCGTGGGAAACTGTGGCTTTTCCCATGCAGGCTGGCAGAGTGCCAGCCATCAAGGGGCTGCTTGGAGCCCCCCTGCTGCACACACATCCCCCTTCCTTACATCCTGGGGGGCTGGGGCCTGAGGGCAATGGGTTGGGAGTGAGGGGCATTGGGTTGGGACTGGCCAGTGATGTTTACAAATGAGTCCTGGTCCAAAAGCTACTCATCTAGCCCAACCAGGGATCAAACCTGGTGTTAGTAGCACCATACAAACCAACTGAGCTACACAGCCACTCTTCCAACCTTTTGTTATAAGAAGCTAATATTATTGTTTAAACGGAACAACTTTGTATGAAACAAGAGGGTCCCTTCCTCACCCATCCCTTTTCTTTGGTTTCCTTACTGGCTATCTCTGTTCTCCACTGTGGGGGGGAAATTAGTAGAATCAATTAGAAGCAATCTAATGAGCAAAGAAAATTTAAAAATGAGAGAAGAGATTTACCCATCTACAGATCTCCTGTATTGGCTACCTTTACAATTTAAAAAAAAAAGACCTAAGAAATCTATGAAATTTGAGCTATTCGCCTTAATTTTTTCTCGTAACTATAAAGGCAAACTTCAACAGTGTCCTGTCCTTATGACACTATTTAGATGGGTGCTAAGTAGCAAGAATATTCAGAGCAATGAGTGTGAACCTGTAGCGGACCACCTGGCTCCACCAGGCTCAAATCAGTCCTTAAACCCTTGAACTAACTCCCAGGTCCGGATTACCTGGTCCCTGCCACAGTCTTTCTCTAGGCTTTACAACACAGACGATAATACCCTGGGTTCTTCCACACCACAAATCACAACAGAAAACAGGAACATGTTCAAACCCTGCGTTAGAGTGCAACATAAAGTGCCAACAGCCCACCACGAACAGTCAGAAGCCTGGGTTAGTTTGCAGCCTGTACTCTTTTCCTCCTTGGAAAGACCTGGCTCTTCACATGGGTAATCCCCCCCACCATGTCCTCTTGCTCTTCCTGTTTGCTTTTGTTTTCAAGTCAGCCAGTCAACTTCCCCTCATTTACTAATTGGCTGAGCCAGCTGCAGCCCTTTAGGCAGGCAGCCTGCTAACAGGATGGCTAATTGCTCCAGGCTGCAAGCCTGCAGCCTGTTACATACTCTCCCCTCCAAGAGTCGAGCCCAGAGTACACTCTTCCATTTCTTCTACTTCTCAAGCCCCTTCTCTGGAGAAGTCCGCATTTTTATGGGCAATTCCTGGATGGTAGCATATTTCAAAGTTGAATGGCCCTGGCTGAAAATTGGCCTCCCCCATGGCATGTAGCCATTTTAACAAAGCATCATTAGTGACTAGTCAGAAGTGGGTCCCAAAGAGATAATAGCAGAGGGTCTGTATGGGCCATTTAAATCACCAGACACTCCTTTTCAATCTTTGTGTATTTTTCTGTTCTTGGGGAAGGAGCTTCTGGTTCAGGTACATGATGGGGTCTCCATCTTCAAATTCCTGTGCGAGTACTGCCCCAAGACCTCATTCTGAAGCATCCTTTGTACTATAAATTCTTTCCCCCTGTCCAGGGAACATAGGTCCGTGTCACTGTACAACAAGCCTTTTCACTCTCCAAATGCACTTGCACACTCTGATGACCACTGCACCCATTGCAGGACCCTCATTCACAAGAGATCAGCTAGGGAGGCCATGAGGACCACAAAATTGGGAATAAACCACTGATAATAGCTAGCCAAGCCTAGGAAGGATTTTACTTTTTTGTTGCCGGTACCAGGGATTAGACAGGGTACAGGCCCTGGCACATCAGAGGCTGGATCCTGCCATTGCCCAGGATATACTACAGATACTTTGTCTTGGTCTTGGCCACAGGCAATGCACAGGGGGGGCACATGGGCATGTGCCCCCGCTGAGATTGGCCATGGCCAAAGCCGCCGCCAGCATCTGCGGGCAGTTGCCACCCCCCTTTTGCCATCGACGCGACTGCGGGTGGTCTCTGCTTGCTGCCGCCAACAGCATAGGCGGCGGCTGCGGGCAATCCCTGCTCACCGCCCACGACTCACCACCCCCCTGACACTGCCACTGACACCAGCTGTGGGTGGTCCCCACTCACCACCACTGATAGCATGGACAGCAGCTGCTGTGGGCACTTCCTGCTCACCACCTACCGCTTGCCCCCCTCCCCCACTGCTGACACCACCACCAGTGGTTGTGCGCAGTCGCTGCTCGCCACTCCCTTCCCACCGCCAACACCACCAGCAGCAGCTGCAGGCAGTCCCTGCTCACTGCCGTGGTGCCCACTTAGTCATGGGAGGCACCAGTCATTCATGGTCTTGTCTTGGTTACACTTGGTCAGATTGACTGTAAATCCTGCAGCATGGATTGACTGTAGGACTGCTCTTATTCCTTGAATGTGGTTTGACCACTTATCAGTGAATATTATGATGTCATCTATGTAGACAGCTGCGTATGCCTAGTGCAGTGGTGTATGCAGTCCATCAATCATTGAAAACTTGCTGGGACACTGTGGAGTCCAAATCAGAGAGTCTGAAAGTGATATAGCCCCCATGGGGTGGTGAAGGCCATAATTTCTTGGGATGCAGGGTCCAGGGGAATCTGCCACTACCCTTTTATTAGGTCCAAGGTAGATATATACTTGGCCTGGCCAGTACCTCTACCTTTTCATCTACCCTAGGCAAGGAGTATGCATTGCATTTTAAAACTGCATTGACCCTACAAAAGTCAATGCAGAACCTGACAGTACAGTCAGGCTTGAGTACCAGTACAATAGGGCTGCTCCATTCACTCACAGATTCCTCTATTACCCTCAGGTCCAACATATTTGTCACTTCTTTCCAGACTTAACCGAGCCATAATTCATGAGCATACTCTATGGATGAGGTATCCAGGCTTGAGGCTGATCTGGTGCTCCACCAATGTGGTCTTACCAGGTTTCTCAGTGAACATCTCCATAAACTCCATCAGCACTATGTTCATATCTCCCTGCTAAGCTAAGGTTAGTTCCTCCCCAAAGTGGGGCCCTTCTGAAAAGTTGGTAGAAGGATGCTACACCTCTGAAGTGGTTGTCTCCCAGTTCAGGGACATCAGGCAGGCTTCTCAGCCAATCCAGGGTT